ACGATTTAGACTGCTGTGAACTGACCCCTCTGTATGTAGTCCACTGACAAATTTTACAACAAATACAACCAGAAATGCTTTTTTGTGGGTCCTTGTTCCTGTAAGTCCCTCCCATTTCCTGGAGATCTTTAGTCTGAGCTGAAGGGGTTTGTGTGTAGAGCAAGGATTAGTAATTGCAGCATGATTGGAGTAGATAAATGCTCATTAAAGCTTTGTGCTGTGGGTGGTTGTGTATAAATTTAACATAATACAGTTACTATCCCCCCAGAGCACCTGAGCAAATGCTGGAACTCCGGTGAAATCAAAGTGTGTGCTTACAAACTTTGAATCAGAGCTGCAAAACACCCTCTGCCTAATTTACACCAACCATTCATACTGGTGTGAATACCTGTGCTGTCTGAATTAACGAGCAAGTGAACACCCAAGCGAAGGCTGTGGTTCCTGAGATGTTTTACTAATTACCAGGGCTGTGATTTAATGTTATTTATTTATTAGACTCCATTATATTCTGCAGCTCAGTTAGTTCACAACAAAAACCTGAAACGTTGCAGTCATGATCCATCGTCCTGGCACCATGATATTAAATCTTTTCTAAGAGGGATTTTATTTTAATTATAAGGTATGTGCTAAAGCTTCATTAATTTATATTACAGAGCTAATTGCAGATCTCTGCCTTTTTTATTTTTTTTTTAGCAGGAAAAGTTCTTGAACCAATGCTCATTCTCCTATGAGGGCAAATTCTGCAGGAATTATACAGAAGGCAATGGATGAATTGGACTAAACGTGCAAAATTTCCTGCTAAATGGTTGCAGAAGAACTCTGTTTAGGTTGAAAAGAATGTTTTTAAGGAATTCTGAAAGGAACAATGCCAGCTTTCATTCTGAATTTGGTATCAACTAAACGTGGCCAGAAATTCGTAGAATTGAGTGAATTTGGTTTTGAGCTCTGGGGAACAGGGCCCTGGGTGTCGAGGCCCTTAGTGCTGTAGTGATTCAAAACCAGTTTGTTTTCACTGTGACTGTTTTCAAACTTGCAGTATGTTTGTTTTTTTAGATTTTTGGATCGTTCTCAAAACAGACTAAACAAAACACTTGGTTCCAGGGATTCCCAAACTTAGGTGAGTTACAGCCCTTAAGAACACCCCACGTATGTCAGTGCTTTTTCAAACGTTATTGTTGTTTCCAAGTTTGATTTCATCTGCGTGTGCCATTTTTTTATCAGGGATGTAGTGACAAATCAGCGTTTTTTCCAAAGCAGCCTGTAATTTGGGCCAGTTGCGGGTTTCTGGTGGGAGCCTGGCAGTGAGTTTGTGTTTTTAGCAGTGCCCAGTTCCCACAGCTCTGTGTTTTGTGCCGGACTTGCCCAGCAATTCAATGGTCTCTCATTTAGAAAAGCAGCCTCTTAGGTGTTTTGAGCTGGAAATGCAAAATTGGCGTACGTGAGGGCTTGGGAGGCTCGTTCCAAGGAGTTTGCGGCAGTGCTGGGTTTGCAGGATGAGCTCATGAATCTCCGAGTGAAATCTGGATTAGCAAGCTCTACCCAGCCCGAGAAGAAAGAAAAACGTTTGCACAAACATCTGTGCAGGAAAACTGATGACTTTCACAAGATCTTAAATAGATTGTACTGAATCAATTATCCGAGTCCTGTAGTTTAAGTACAGCTGAGACTGTAACTGGGACCCGGCGAGCTAAAAAGGAGCCTCCATCCTTCCCGAGCCAGCGGGAGCTGTGCCAAGCTGGGCTCGGCTGGAAGCCTTTCTTTGTGGATCTTGCTGGCTGTCAGTGTGAAAGGTGGATGGAGGCTAAAAATGGCTCAGGAGCACGGCTGGTGTATGCAGGGAATAGCAATGAGAACAGAGTGAAATCAGAGCCCGAGCCTCGGACGCCGTGGAAAGCGTCCAAGGGGGTGGAAAATGTGCAGCAAACAGGTTCTGTGGCTACTGCTGCACGAGGGGACGGCAGGAGGAGGGAGCGAGGAAGGGGGGAAAAAATCCCGAAAGCAAGGGACGAGTGAGGGGAAGATGCCCTGAAGGACATGAAGGGGAGATACTTGAGTGATATGATGTATCTGGAAAAGGTGTTTCATCCAGAGGATGGCTGAGCTGGAACAGGTTCCCAAGGGAACTGGTCATGGCCCTAAAGCTGCCAGAGCTCGAGGAGCGTTTGGACAAGGCTCTCAGGGACAGGGTGGGATTGTTGGGGTGTCTGGCAGGGCCAGGAGTTGCACTGGATGATCCCTGGGGGTCCCTTCCAGATCAGGATATTCCGTAATCCTGGAGGTCAGGGAGTGCTCGGACAGTGTTCTCAGGTGTCGAGATTTGGGGACTGGAGGGACTTTTGGAGTTGTCCCATGCAGGGCCAGGAGTTGGGACTGGATGATCCTTGTGTGTCTCTCCCAAATGAGAATGTTCTGTGATCCTGATGGGTCCCTTCCAGCTTAGGATATTCCATGATTCTGGAGGTCAGGGAGTGCTTGGATGGTATTCTCAGAGGCTGGGACGAGGGAAGACTTTTGGAATCATCCCATGCAGGGCCGGGAGTAGGGACTGGATGATCCTTGTGGGTCCCTTCCAGCCGAGGATATTCCATAGTCCTAGAGGTCAGGGAGTGCTGGACAGTGTTCTCAGGTGCTGAGATTTGAGGACTGGGGGGACTCTTTGCGTTGTCCTGTCCAGGGCCAGGAGTTGGGAGGGCCCCACAAGGATCATCCAGCCCCAAGTCGGAATGTTCCGTGATCCCGATGGGTCCCTTCCTGGCCGGGGTACTCCGTGAAGGGTGGTGCACCCGGGGGGACAGGGCTCCCCGGAAGACAGCGGCTCCT